TATTGTCTTGTAATATAATAGTATCCATTCGACGCCTATGAATGTCATTATAACCAAATACATCTTTGACAACGTTGACATAGACGAAGCTGTTAATGTTCTCTTTCGTCGACCGCCAGATTGGTTGCTCACCGAACTTGATCGTCATTTACACCATGAGGCGTCGACAGTTCTTGAAGGTTGATATTGAAGCAGTCTGTTCTTTTGGAAAGTCCTTTCCGCATATGACCGTATGTGCCGACTCTGTGGACTTGTCTTAGAACAGTACTTCATCACAGAAGGAAATGCTTTTCCGAAATGAAACTCTGTGGCCAATGTATTCCTGTGCAAATAAGAAACGTTCCTTAATATGTTTCCTACTTAAAAATGGCTTAATCGTAGCCATCCTCTGATGAAGACCAAATTACCGCGTTCTTTTCCTTACTAGGGTCTGAGAGAACATAAACAAATGTTCCCTGTGAATAGCGGTAATGGACATATAATGGTAGATTTTTAATGTTCGACGAATAAAATCGTCATCCTGTTTTGTTTTGGAACGTTTTGCTCCAGGATTCTTCCTTCTAAGCACTGTTTTATACTTAATAATTCGGGATACAGTGGCATTGCTTATACCAAACATATTAGCTAATGAATTACGCGCCAACCCTTCGGCTGCCATTTTTCGTAAGCGGACAAAATCAGCTCCATTTAAATAATCGTCTGATATCCCGGATGCACAGCCAAACACCAAAAAAGGACATATATCGCGCCTTCCCGTTTCTATATCAAGCTTACCCTGAAAGTTATCGCTGCGGCAAAACAACTCTGTCATACCAATTTATTACTGCATTTTGTGGCACAAAACTTCATAGAATAGCAGAAAAAATATTAAAAAGTGTAATTCTTCCTTGTTTCCGAAAATAAATGCGGTTCCTTCAACCTGAACTCACTTCCATCTGAAAAATTTCGGAAAACATTTTCCGGTTCTGGCAGTGATATGTTCCATACCTTTTTCACTTATTTTGGAGTTCCTCCTCAGTATAATACACATTAATAAAAAGTTTGGTTCTGTCATACGTAATAGCATAGGAAATTCCTTCGATACGAGACTTCTCTCATTTCGCTTAATAAACCTAACTAAAACGGTGATTTTCCTAACGAAAAAGCTTTTGCAGAATTGAATGAAGTCAGTTAATCACAATAGTGTTTTCAAATATATGCTAAAGTGCCAAGCCACATTTCATCATGAACGTTGCATGGTCTTTGGCGGTTACTGTACATCTGCGAATTCCTATTGAGAAATCAACAAGAAATAGGAATACCAATAAATGCATTAGGAAACTACTACTAAAGTGCATACTTAATGTGCAGTTCCTTTTTTACAGCCAAATATACAGACGAATAGATGGCATTGCCATAGGCTCGCTTCTGGGACCTCTCCTAGCTGACATATTCATGGGCAAGCTGGACAAATTTCAACTTAGCGATCAGATCTACAAGTTAAAACCCTACGGTCACTACGTTGACGACATCTTCGCGATCGCCACAAACGACACCAATATATACACACTCTTAAACGCGGTCAATCAAGCACATCCATCCATAGAGTTCAAGTTGGAGATGGAAACAGCAGTTTCGTTCCCTTTCCTGGACGTCCTCCTAAGTCGTAGACCTGACGGTAGCATCCGAAGGAGCCCGTATAGAAAGAAAACCTGCTCTTGACAATATACAAAATTTAAAAATTTCGTACCTCTCCAACAGAAGCGAAAACTAATTCGCTGGTTAGCGCAAAGAGCTATAAAATTTGCTCAGAAGACAGTATTGAAGAGAAATTCAAGAAAATCCAGGACTTACTTCGCGAGAACGGCTATCCTGGGTGATTTATTACCAGGAATATGGCTGCCAAAAAAATAAAACCCAAAAGACTTACTGTGGAAAAGAAAACCTTATTTCTCAAAGTCCTCTTTCGAGGAGAAGTAGCAGGTGAACTCCTGAAAAGGTGTCTTGACGAGGCCGTGTCGCGAACCTTCCCAGCAGCGAGAGTTTGGGTATTATTCCCAACCAAGCCGGTCTTACATGGGGAAGGTAAGGACAGGTTACCGACTCAGACCACCTGAGTGTGCATCTAGTCCTTTAATTGCTCCTGTGGAGCAGGTTATATTGGTCGCAAGAGTCGGAGCCTATCCAAAAGAATAAAGGAACACCCCCCGCGATGCCTAAGCAAAGGTGAAGTCAATGCCACCAGGACCATCAACAGCTCTATTCTAGCGCACATAGTGGATTCCAGACATCGGGTGGACCCCAACGAAGCCTTCAGGGTGATCTGCAAGGTCCCAAGGGCACCTAGCTACTGGCATTTTTCCGTGCCACCGCTCTCCCCCCTTTTTTGAATTATTATTGGAGGAATCCAGTGAAGCTAGCTTGGCTGAAAATAACGAGTACCAAGTTTGCTAGGTCAGGATTTTGTAATACTTGACCACCTTTTTAAACTATTCTAGTTAAATTGCTTTAACGTTGTCCAGTGCGTTTTGATCAGCCTGGACGAAGAAGAGGAAGGCGACTTCACAGTTTTTTGATCTAGATTACGGTTGTTTATACAAGCTACTTAAATGTTTTCAGTAAATGTGTTGTTTTTAATTCTCCTGCTTGAAGAAAACATCTATGGCTTTGGGAACGAGGACAGTTGTAAAACGACTGAAGAAGTTGACGTCTTTAACACCCTGGAAAGACGCTGGGGTAAGGTGGCTCCAATGCACAAGGCACGTAATATGGTGGGCGCTGTTGTTCTTAAGCAAAGAATATTCGTCTGTGGAGGAGGCGACACTTCTTGTGAAATCTACGACCCACCGACAGATACGTAAGTCAGCCATCCGTCTTTATTCTTATGTCAATCTTCTGAATCGGGGAACAAAGAGCACTTTTAAAAGGAAGCTGCGCGCTAGTACGACAATGTAGGGTCTGAGCCATCAGGCTCTACAAAGGGGTTTAC